AAATACCATCCTTACTATCTTATTTGCATTGTTTTTGGAAGAGTGATATTAGCCAACCCTACATGTACTTCATTTTTTGAAAAGTTTTTCTTTCCTTGTTTACTTATAAGTATCATTATTTTTTTAATCACCTATGCCTCATATATATTTCTTGACTTTAATACTTGGATCACTACAGTGTATTTATAGTATTCTTAAATTGAAGGAGCTAATAATACAGTATATCACTATTGTCCTAAAACAATTTTCAATTTTTCCTTGTATATAATCCTTTTATTTAACATTAAGTCATGTTATCATTACACATATTCTTCAGAACTAACCAACTCTAAAGTGTCTAGACATTGATAAGCCTGAGGAAAAATAATTATACTCAAAAATGTCAAAATATTATGAATGTATACCTTTATTTCAAATAACTTAATGTTATTATTAGATCTTATCTTATGCATTCCTCAAACTTTCACATTTGTGCAGCATCTTCTAATAACTGAAAACATAATAATAATGGCACAGCCTAAAGTGTTAAATACATGAAATACAACTAAAACCTACTTTTACTGAATACAAGAATCAATGGATATTTAAAAAAATGGTTAAATGAAACAGGGTCTCAATTGACAAGCATGGATTTGAGGTTGTACCCTACTTTAACTAATACACTTGTACAAAAGCCCTGGATAACTGAACCTAATGCAACATTTTCTTTAAACATCCAGAAAAACTATTGTTAGTAAGATTATTGTCTAAAATGATTAAATCTAAACTCAAACTTCTGAAATATCTTAATAAGTATAACACATTTAAAAAATAACAGGCTAAGTTATTTTATCTAAAGTCTAAAAATTCTCCTAAAAAATGTATTCCAACAATAACCCACCTATCTATTTTCATAGCACAGCTTCCAGGTATGATTCAAACAGAATGCAACTTCAACATGTATCAGATCAAAATCTTGTGTAGTGAATATTGAAAACACACAAGAATATCAAACAGAAACTTACCTTGTGTCATACAGCTATTAGAAACAGGAGGTTCAACAACTTGCATGGTATCATCTTCCAAATAATAATATATCTTACATTTTCGAACTCTGTATGTCTCCTCCTGACTTTCACAAATAGGTTCAGTAAAATAGGCATAAAAGCATAAAATCTAAAATACAAAGTACTTTTGATTTATTATCAGAGTGATAAAAATTTATAATTTAATTAAATTTAAAAATTACACATTCTTGTATTATTGAAATAAGATACAACAAAAGAAGTAAACATTTTATCTCTTCACCACATTTGATATAATTTTGGTGAATAAAATTATCTTTTATGTACTCTCAATGATTATATATACTTATATAAAACTGTCTTATACAGTGATTTGGAAAATTTGTGGCAAAAATGTATTATTTAAAACGATGATGATACTGAAAGAGAAAACATGTAATATTTGTCAAAAATAATTCTTTTATGCTTGTACCTTAAGAGCTTTAAACACTGCATTTTTTTCAGGGAGCAATTATTTACCAAAAGCAGGCTATATATAATTCTGCAAAGTTTCTCAGTCATATCTGTCAAGTTCAACACACTGTCTATAGTAATTACATTTTTTATTACTTTAAAAAACCTACAGCCATATTACTCTTTACTACAAATTCAATGTCATGCCTGAGTTTCAAGTTGGTTTTGTTTGGTGCAATAAAGGTTCATTATCGTAAATTAATATAACATTAAAGAACAACAAGGGATCTTTTGGTCCACCAAATTAAACAGTAAGAAACTTAAAGCCAGCACTTGTCATTCAAATATTTATCAAGTTTTGTGGCCCTTTTCAGTTCCTTCCAGAGATACACCACTACATCATTGCACAATAGCAACTGTATCAAAGTCACAACTTTGTTCTTCCAAAATGGTTACGATTATTGTGATACTATTCACCCATGTCAATACGACCTCTATCCTAGTACTGTATACAAGCACCTCATTCATATAATGTTATTACTTTTTCAAGACTGGCTCAATCCCAATCTGTCTCTTAGTGGAGATGAAGGTCAATTTAGGAAAATGTTAACTTCCTAAACATAATTATCTCCATTCACATTTATAGCTAGAATCTCACATTGATGAGGTGGATGGGCCAGTGAAGGCATTATTCATACAGAAAGCATCTGCATAGATCACTGGTGTGTCAATAGAAGATTGGCAACCTAGTGGGGGAGCTGCACTACATCCAGAACAGGTATGCTCTTCACCTGGAACTTAATTCCTCTATTGTGGGTAGAATTTTACATGAGTTATCATCACTATAGGCCATGCCCCAACCAGATAGCCTTTCTGCATTCGGAATTACAAGGAGACAGTGGACACTCTTCCATGAGCAATGTACTGAACCAATATTGATCAAAAAGGAGGGCCATGCACACTCCAATTGGATAGCTGAGAGTCAAATCTGAACCATTATTATGAGTAGGCTGGTGCCACTCCTACCAACATCTGGGAAAAACATCCAGGGAACCAGGTAGGAGGGCCCCCAACTTCGCCCTTTTCTCCAAGAGTGGAGAAAGTTACTCTAGCATTCTGGAGGAAAAGCCTCTGGTCACCACCCCTTTGACTGGATACCGGGTGTGGTAAAGATTTCTGAGCTCCACTAGTAGGTTTGTTTGTTTTTGAATTTCGCGCAAAGCTACACGAGGGCTATCTGCGCTAGCCGTCCCTAATTTAGCAGTGTAAGACTAGAGGGAAGGCAGCTAGTCATCACCACCCACCGCCATCTCTTGGGCTACTCTTTTACCAACGAATAGTGGGATTGATCTTCACATTATAACACCCCCATGACTGAAAGGGCGAGCATGTTTGGTGTGACAGGGATTCGAACCCGCGACCCTCAGATTGCGAGTCGAGTGCCTTAATCACCTGGCCATGCCGGGCCCCACTAGTAGGATCTGGGGGGGTAATGCAGATTGGGTAGCCCTGAGAAACAGTACTCTGGAAATAGTGCAATAGGTGAACCAAGTTTCCTAAACTTTTAAAAGCAAACTGACCCCAATTTATTCAATCCAAAGATCAGCAGGGACCATCAGGATTCCCTTTTGCTTTACTTATGATAATCCATGAGTGGCAGTCCAGCACAGAACAGTAATACCACCCGGTCAGCATCTAGGTGGTCTTATGGAACAATGCATTTCTAAAGAGCCTGTTGCAACCTGTATAAAGTATATGGAATTAGTGGTTGCTAGTGCGCAATTGGTTTGATTAAAGCACACCTGCCTGGGCAACACTCACCACAGAGTGGATCTGGTGAAAAAAAGAGGTAAGAGACCCTGTAAAGAAAAGGGCCAAGAGGAGTAAAAAAAATATACCTCTCATTATAATCTAGCTGATGTGGTCAAAATAGCCACAAGGGATAGTCGAAAATCCCAGAGAAAGAAACTGCCAGATCGTGCAAAATAATGTGAGATAAAAATATTGGGAGAAGTCCCCATAACAGCCCGCACAATGTCCTCCAGCAGGCAATTCAATTGGGAAGCTAAAAACATAGAAATATGACAAATCTGATGAGAGGTGACTCACAAAAGTTTCCTCGCCTGTAAAGAGAGCCCAGAATAAGCAATATGGATCAATTTTCGAACCTACCTCCTCATGGTAATCGGGGATAAATCACGGGAAACTGAAGGATCCCAATGAATAAAAAGTCTATAACTATCACAATGTCCTCCAGCAAGCAATTCAATTGGGTAGTTAAAACCACAGAAATGTGACGAATCTGATGAAACGTGACTCACAGAAGTTTCCTCACCTGCAAAGAAAGCCCAGAATAAGCAATATGTATCAATTTTCGACCCCACCTCATCAAGGTAATCGGGGACAAATCACGGGAAACTGAAGAATCCCAATGAATAAAATATCTATATCTATAACCTCGTAAGGAATTAGTGCGAGCCACATAACACTTCAGGGGCTGACTGGACATAAAAAGCAATTAGGTCTGAGTGATCATAGGGGTTAGAAATTGTGGGCAAATGAATTGGTGATGATTTATCCCCTTCCCTTACTGCTAGAGCCTTAGATATGAAGGACCTATCTGGGTATAGAAGGACGTAAGTAGAGTAATAAAGAGTCCTTTGCACATGCAGTGCAAACAACTCTGGCCTACGACATCCATAGGCCCACAAGAATAGAAAATAAACTTTAAGGGAAAGGTGATACATGGTACATGACGCTAATGGTTCAAATGGATGTTGAGACACAGCATGTAATACCACCTTAATATCACAGTTAGGAAATTGAAAAGGCCTTTTGGGGTGAAGGACTCAAAAAGACTTGAGAAGGCTGGAAAGCACTGGGAATTCAAATAATTTCCTACTTTTTGAGTATCAAAATGTTGTCAATAAAGCTGCCTTATATAAAATGACTGTAGATGACACTAAACCATTGTCAAAAATCCAGGTCAAAAAACGAGCTATGGTTGGCACATTTGGGTGAAGTGGGTTCAATTTCCTCATGAGTCACCATTGTCAATAAGTGTGTCATTTCCTTTGACAAATGTCCATTGTGAATCTATAGAGAGATTGAGACAAATATATGGCAACTTTGGAAGTTAAACCTTGATGCCATGTGAAGAACTGCATAACTTCTATGCATGAAGCTTAAGCTTCAGAATGTTTTGGTATATAATGTCGGATCATGGTTGACTCAACAGAGATGGCCAAAGAGGAAGTGGCAGAGGTGGACAATCTTCAAGATACTGAAGAAGAGGAAACCATAGTTTAACTCGCCAAGCTAGGGTTACCAACAGCACCTGACAAGGGGTGGATTGAACCATAGCCAGAACTCTGGGTAACAGATGAATTGGTGGGAAGGCACAGTGGATACAATCCTGTCCAGTCCGAACTGAATGCATCTATCGCCAATGCATGAGGATAAGGTACCAGTGACCAAATTGCCTGTAGTTGAGATTTCCAATGAGTGGCGAATACATCGATCATCTGTGTCCCAAACCAAGAGCACATCCACCAGAAAACCTCGCTATGTAGCATTCATCCGGTCAGAGGAATCCGGTTGAGTCGAAACAAATAATTTGTTATCAAATTCATCACCCCTGGAACATGGCAAGCTAGGAGGCTGATATCATGAGAGTGAGCCCAATAAAGAAGATACAATATTCAAATATAAAGATCCCATGATCAAGTGCCCCTTGACGGTAAATCTAAGATACCACCATGGATTTGTCGAAGTAAAGCATGACGATTTTTCCCCTTAATAATTCTAGACCTTGCCCTTTGGACAGCAAGAAGCTCTAAAATATTAATGTGGAAAGAAGATTCGTCATCCATCCATAGGCCTTGAAATTCCTTACTGTTGATATACGCACCTCATCCCTGAAGTGAGGCATTTGTGAAGAGATGGATCTTGGGACAAAGGGATGGTAGAGAAACATCTATTGTAGTATTGTGCTGATCTAACCACCACTTGAGTTATAAGATGTCGTTCCTGAAGAAGGAGACTAGGTGATCCAGTGGATTACTATTTATCATCCATTGATCGTTCAGTAACCACTGAAGGGATCTCATGTATGCCCATCCCAAAGAAATTAGAGATTCAAGGGCTGCCCACATCCCCAAAAGAGAAAGAATCATCCATGCAGTGGGAGAAGGAGACATGAGTAAGAGTCTAACTGCCTGTTCCATAGCATAGATCCAGATGGGAGTTGGCTAAGACCTGCTTAGATACACATTGAAAAAAGATATCCAGATGGACAATGTATTGAGTTGGTATGAGAATAGATTTCTCGGCTCTGATAATAAATCCTGTCTTGATGGCTTCTGAAAGAAGGATCTGGGTGTGACGTTCCACCAACTGAACCAGTCATCCATATAATGGTGTATGCACAGGCCTAAAGAATGAAGGTGATGAGAAAAAGCTTGTACTATTCTGCAGAACACATAGTGTGCAGATGGTAGTCCAAAGGGTAGAGCTCTGAACTGCAGTACCTTACCCTTGTGCATCAACCGTAAACAGTGGTAGGGTGATTCTGCTATGGGAATGTGAAGATAGGCATTGGCAACATCGAACTTGGTCATCCACAGTCCTGGTGAAAAATGCCAATGTAAGGTGAGGAATGACTCCATCATGAACCTGGGAAAATCTATGAACTGGTTGAGACGAGAAAGATCGATGTTCAGACACCAATCTCTTGTCTTCTTGAGCACAACAAATAGACAGGAATAGAATAAAATTCCGGAAGAACTGTGTCGACTCTCTCTGCTGCCCCTCAATCAACAACTCTCTGATAGCCCTGGAATGAAGGTACACAATCTGAGGATCTGTTGGAGGTGGAGATGTGAACTGAATGATCAACTCCGACGCAATAACCTGAAGTACCCGTGAATATGTGGTTAAGGAATTCCATATGACCAGAAAATGTTGTAACCACACCCCCAGAAACCCCACTGGCATAGGATAGTCACCGATGCCACTGTTGATGGTCAGCCCGAGTGAATGAGCCTCTTTGATAAGGATGGAATCTATTCTGGGTACCAATGGATCAGGGAGCTGAAGTCATAATACTTTTTTTAGAGAAAACTGTTCCAAAACACTTTTTTAAGAAAAAGTGATAACATTATCTGAATGAGGTGCTTATATACAGTACTAGGATAGAAGATGCACTGACATAGGAGGAGAGTGTCACAAGTTAAATATTGTCAAGGGCAATTGAGTGGGGTATAAAAGATTGGAGCAAGCAATAAAAAATTAGACCAATGCTTAGATGGGTAAAGGAAGAAACCCTAGCCATCGAGTAATAGATATAAGTGAGAGTGGCGGTAAATATGTTTTGGAATTATGGGTTTCCTTGGTGATAACACAAAATGAGTTGACATGTATGTCCAGATCAACTCTCAGCCCAGAGAGAAAAATTACTTTTAAGTATATAGTATAATAATCTTGTGAAAATTTAAAAAAATAATAACAATTTTCTCTTGAAATAAAGACACCTTAGGGAAGACATCAAACTGTTGGAAAGGGTTCTGAGGATGGCTACTAGGATGGTATCTTGGATGTAAAGGTTGCCTTACAAGGACATAGATCTGTGAAATTGTTTTCTCTTGAAAAAGATGAATTAAAGAGGATCCAATTGAGGTTTCTAAGATTGTTAATGTAATTGATAGTGATGATGCATTATATTTTTCTTATATAATGATAAGAAAGATAGGACTAGAAGACACAAATATAAATTTTGGCAGTGCAGGAGTCATCTTACGATCTTCAGATAAAACAGCTTTATTTTTTTAACAGGGTGGTTGGGCTTTGGAATGGGTTGCCTTCAGATGCAGTGAATTAATCTAAGAAATTTTAAGGGAAGACTTGATTACCATTTGAATGATAAGGGCAGGCTTTGAGTGTTTCATTTTTATTTATAAGTTGAGTTTAGTGGATGGGATGGCCAAGATATATATATATGTATGTATGTATGTAGGTATATAAATTACATGGTATGTAGAACTATATACAGCCTAAACTGATGATTACATGTAACACAACAACAATTTAGTTTTAACTGAACATGAAAATTGGAAACTCCATTAAACAGTTGACAAGCATAGCTTAGGAATACAAAAGTACATTTTGAAATTACTTTTATCCATGATTTTTGTACTTGTGACTGAAACAAATATAGATATATTGTGAAACCCAGCTATAAGGACAAACCCACATTTTCATTGCAGAGAATTAACAAAAAGGGCTTTCAATATCTTAGTTTTGTAACGAACCTAGATGTGTATATACTAGTATGAATCAAATTTTTATTCTCTTTCTATAAAATAGATTTACTTAAGTTCATTTGCATGATAAAATAATTTTTCAACAAGTATCAGTAGTTTTATTTTGACAGTAACTTGCATCTAGATGCATAAAGGGTAATTATATTGCTCAGCTAATTTTTTGTTACTTAAATTAATGTCACTGATGGACTAGATGGTTTCATGTCTCCTGCCCACTTCTATGTGTTACGTATCTGCTTGTCTGTTAATTTACCATAGAAATTCTTTCTGGGAAACTTCAGCGATACAAGATCTTTCTTAATTAAAACTAGTTTATTCTTTCTGGATACAACTTTGCAATACAGAATTTCCACAGTCATTTTAACTTAACTACTTTTATAAACACAGGCAATAATTCACACACTTTACTTATGGTGCCTACTGTTCGCTTGACTCCATTGTCTCTCTTCAATCTATCTCTGGCTTATATACTAAAAAAGAGGGTGTCTAGCAAACGCTGGGACATTCGTGAGGTTGCTTGCTAAGTCATGATCCTTCTAGAAACTCCAGCATGCATGCTCCCAGCGTCGCATGACTTCCACTTTCATAACATATGGAATGATTAAATATGACTGACATGAAATTATTCTAGACAGAAATAAAGAATCTAAACCACTTGTATTTTAGAATCTAGAAAAATAATATTGTCAAGCATTTCCTTGAAACTGTGCCACAAAAATTAAATGGGTTTTACCTGCTTGTCAAAATATCTCCATGTTCCATGTCTTCCAGACAAATTGGACCTATTGACATCTCTGTCACTTGAAACAAAAGGAACATCTCTGACAAATCCAAAATGCTGCTTTTTGTGATGGCTAGGTGCACATTTCTGTTGTAATATGAATAAATACAGATATATTAATCATTAACACAGAAAATGTATGTATTTGATATATTTAAATGTAAAACAAATTAGTATCATAATTTTCTCATTATGTAGGCCTATATCATACATGTACAGGTAATATCTAACTCTTTAAGTAAGTACACATAAGAAACAGGAAGGCAATAAACACATATTCTTTCCTTTGAGGTCACTCTTCATCTCACCAACAAAACAATCAACCAAAAACATGAAAGCCTATTTAACATATAAATGTTACCCAAGGCCTTCACATTCATATACCTGTCCAACAAG